GTCCTCCAGCAGTCTAAACCTATAGTAGCATAACTATAGAGATAGCTCAGGATAAGCAGCAGCGATATAACAGATGAATAATGCTTTTTCCAGTATTATACAGACAAGATGCCTTTACTATTGGATGGATGCTAATGTTTTTAACTGAATGAGTATTCTTCCATTGGTTTTGTCCAATGTGCATAATTAGTTTTATCTGATGTTTTTTTGTTTTATCTCTTCAGTTTTATTCCACAGTTTCATTCTGGCTGCTTTCACTTTTATCCCCTCTCCACTTCCACTTGCTGCTTTTTCACCTCAGTGATCTCCGTCCGACTCCTGAGCCCTTCACAGAGCAGCTGTGTTAATATGGAGACTAAACTTCTATAATATTGGCTCTGATATCTAATTAGATGGAGGAAGAGTTCCCAAAAAGTAGAGTCGAGAAAAAGTAGCAGGTCTTTAATCTAAAAATTAAAAGCAGCCTTCAGAGAAATTACTCAAGAGTAAAAAGTATTCAGTATGAAGGTAACTAATCATAGCACTTAAACTACTTTATGGAATTATGTAATCAAACAGACCAAATTATAGTTTTTCACAAACTATGGTGTTTAAAAAAGGCATCGTACAAATGCAAAATTAATTTCTTAATTAATACACTGAGACAGAGAAACCCCCAAAATCCCAAATCTAATTTACCAACATGAAACTTATTAAACTAATACCTACAGTATCTAATACGCTGTATGTTAGAGGAGAATAAACTATCTTCAGTGACATATTGTTCTTTTTTCTGCACCCTGACCTCCACGTCTCATAGATCGCTCAGCAGATAGAATTAGAAAACAAAGCTTGTGTACAAAAAAGAATATATATATATATATATATATATATATATATATATACACTCCCCGGCCACTTTATTAGGTACCCCATGCTAGTAACAGGTTGGACCCCCTTTTGCCTTCAGAACTGCCTCAATTCTTCGTGGCATAGATTCAACAAGGTGCTGGAAGCATTCCTCAGGGAGTTTGGT